CTTCTTGAGATTCAAACTTTCTGAGGTTTTAAATAACCATTTTTTATTGTGATTCAATCTTTTCATGTTTTAAACAAATTCTTCACAACTATTTAGCATAGCTTGAGTCAACAACAACTTATTAGAAATTTAATTTAATTCAATTTTTAAGAAATTGTCTTGCTAATTTTCTATGATTAATGATTAAAAATAATGTATTAATTATGAACATGTTGATGTACTTGAACAGGTTTATAAACAGTTAGTTATGAACACGGTATGAACAGTTAGTTATGAACACGTTGATGTACATGAACACGTTTTTATGTACTTAACATGTTTCTGTACAGCTGCATTGTAAAATTAGCTACACAGCTAAAGTTAAAGCGTATTACAAAGTAAGTCATTATTTTAAAGAAAAATTTAAAAAGTGCTTATTTATTTAAAGATCTCTAAGGTCTTAGCATGTTTGCCACATTTTTTTTATTGATCTGATGTTACATCCTTAATTCTTAACAATTATTAATGAAGCAAAACAAACAAAACTCCAAATGAAAAGTTGCGCTAGTTAGCTTTTAAAGAGTACGGAAAACATTTTAGCGTTTACGCCTTTGCAGTTGCTAAAAATAATCGTTGTCTGACGTGAGCCTGACGTTGCCTCGACGTTTGCGCTTAGAATATAAAATTGTCCAACACGTTTGATGTTGGCCAACGTATGCTAGCTGAGGGGTTATAGTGTTTTGAGCAAACAATCAAGGAAGAATAATTAAACTATTGCTTATTGGTTCAATGTTCGATTTTATAAATTACAAAGTTAAAAAAAGATCAAATAAAAATACATTACTAACTAAAAACATGTGTTTAAATTTTTTTTTAAATTTTTAGTTTTTTCGATTTTTTTAGATTTTTTAGTTTTGACTGATGAAAAACATATCATATGACTCATTATAAAAACGTCATAAATTCCCATTAACTAATCATGTCGTTGAATACTGCTATAAAACGGCTAAAACGGCAATTTAAAACACGTGGCTTAAATTCTTATGCTTTAAGTAAACAAAAAGATTGTTTGTAAAACAGAATAACTGTAGTAAAACTTTTAAAATGCGAACACAAAAGAAAGTTCTGAATTTCTAAAGAAAAGGTGAAAGGCCAAGGTTAAAACAATCAAGACCAAGATTTGAAATCAAAATGATTCAGACCAAGGCTAAGGCCAACAGTTTCAAGGTCCAGTTCTTAATTTTAACCCTTAAGATCAAGGCCAAGGACATCTCTGTCTTGGTTGAAATTCGGTTGAACTTCGGTTTAAAATGAAAATCTACTCTTAAAAACAATTTTTTTTTTCCTAATGTTTTTATAACTACAGTTTATTATTTAGAAAAATTTTTTTATATATGAACATGATATAAAAAGTAACCATCAAAAAATATATACACAGAAACCAGTAGATTAGAAATTTTTATTGAAAACATTTATTTAAAATTAAGAATAAACTAAAATAAAGTTATTAGAAGTGATATTTTTCAAAACGAAATATAAAATTACATTTATGTGGTTATAGGCATCTACGAAAAGACTGGAAGTATTCTTCACATAGAGCATTTTATATAATAATTGAAAATACAAACTTTTAAAGTATACATATTTATATATTCTTATATATGTTAAGTTTATATTAAATATATCGGTATTATATTATTTTTAATATATAATATATATTTCGCCATAAAGAAAATATTTACAAAATTAGACTTTAAAAACTGTATATACACGGCTGGGGCAAGAAGAAGACAAATTCAGTCTTATCGCCAAGCCCCTTCAAACAAGAATATAAGTAACAAACAAAACAAAAAACCAAAAAAAATCCGTTATCACAATATAATATATGCGTAAAGTACATATATAAATACAAATATCTAAATATTTTTCATTTTAATATTTTTTTTTATTTTTTTCTTATTAGGATTTCAAATAAAAAAAGTAAATAAAAATGAGATAAAACATGATAATTTAAGAAGGTAAAGATTCAAATTAAAATCAAAAATTAATATGTTAAAATTAAATTAAATATCAAGTAAAAAACGAGTGATTTACTTACTCCTATTTAAAAGTTTCAGAAGAAGTCTAGTTTGTTGTCAATTATCAAAAGTTTACTTTTTATTTTTATTTTACATTGATTCAGGGAAGAAATTTTTTTAAACTCATTATTCAATAGGGTGTTTCATAATTTAGGTCCTCTGATTGCTATCGAGAACCTAGTCGCAGAATAATATTTTTTTGGTTGAATATAATTGTTGTTTGAAAATCTTGTTGGGTATAAATGATTTATTTTTTCGAAAAATGAATTAAATAAAATGGGTGCTATTTTATTATCTACTTTAAACATAAATATAAAAATATGATATATGTTAATTTGAAATACGTTAAGTATTTTAAACTTATTAAAAAGTAATTTAGTGTGCGAAAAGCGATTTACATTTCCAATAGTTCTTAGAGCGTGTTTTTGTTTAATTAGAAGCCCTTTATTTATTTTTATTGATTATAATAATATTATGTTCATTATATTATTATTTATATTAATCTATTTAAGTGTATTTCTTATATATATTATTGTCAAAAAATCTATTTTTAGTTTTTCTGCTATCATCAGATAGTATCTGCTGAAATGTATTCTATTTTAAGTCAACTTTTGATTTCCAGCTGTTATCTAAATATTCTTCTAATAAATCCTCATTCTAATAAGCCTCAAATACTTTTTTAATTGAATGATCTTTATTAAATGAAGCCGTTTTCGAAAAAAATAAGTAAAATGAGCAAGAGAAGTAAAGTATGAGAAAATAGATTTTTAAGTAAAATAATATTTGACTCTGGATTGTCTGTTTTAGGTCTTATTACTTCTCCGGCCTAACCCATAACCTGGTTGCTACTTGTATGCTTCATTTGAATCGAATATGCCAAATTTGAATGGAATAGTTTGCCAAATACTTTATATCATCTCGATCTGCAATTGTATATACTTTAATTAAGTCTTTGTCATTTTGTTGCATTAGTGCTAATACTTTTTTTTCCAAGGGTTTTATGTCGAAAATAGAATATATAAATGTTTTGCTGCGGGTGTTGAAATGTATTTTAAAATTTTTTCATTATTTAATTGAACATTATACTTTATAAGATCTTGATCAACTTAGTCTGCCATTATAAAGTCTAATATTTTGATCATACTTAGCATACTCTTAAAAAAGCAAATCGCGGTTATATTTTGAATCATGAATTATAAAAGTATGTTATTAAGAGCATTAAACTTTTTGTATAACTGGATCTTTATTATCTACATTTCTTAATAAATTTTTAATAATATATCGACTTTATCTCTTTTATGTCAAACTTCATAATTTGTTTTATTTGCCTTTGTTTAAGTTTTCAGCCCTTTTTGGTTCTGTATACAGTCGAATTTCTTCTAACAAAGTATTACCTTTTTTCGTATAACTAATTCCTTTTAATTGATTAAAAATAGTTGATATAAACCTAGCTAATGATTCGCATACATTTGTTAATGTTTTTTGATTGTTTTGTAAATTGTGAAGTAGATATTGTAAGCCATAGCTAATATTAATTTAAAATCTTTTGTTATAATCTAACTGAGCATTTTCTAAAAAATTTGAATTTATATAAATGTTGCTTTTTAAACAAAACTAAACTTGTTTAATGTTCTTAATGAGAGTTATAATTACTATGTCATAGTAAAATATAGTTATAATTACTATTTTATAGAATTAGAATTTCTATATTATTTACATATACATATAAATATATATATATATATATATATATATATATATATATATATATATATATATATATATATATATATATATATATATATATATATATATATTATGTATTATAATTACTATGTCATATACATAAAAGAGAGTTAGTATTACTATGTCTTAAAGTAGAGACATTGAAATATTGCTTTTTCAAAAGATTGATTTACATTGTTCTAGGCTTAGGCATATGCCGTTAGATTGAAGATAATACTGTCATTAAATTATTCATTAACTCTTGTATCCTTGAAGCAAAATGTTTGTCCTTTATTTCCATTACTGCCGCTTTAATTGCTGTCTCAACAAAAGAATAAAGAGTTACGTGGCGCGTTTGTTGCTATGCGCTGCCGTACACGGATGGACGTCCTACGATTGTTATTTAACTTTCTTTTGGATCATCATTAATGACGATATCGACCAGTATTTTATCACTCATAATAGTGGTTAGGAAAGTATTTAAAAATTTATTTATTTGAAATTAATTATTGATTTGGAATCACCAACTTTTAGTATTACGGTGTACATTGTTATTTAAAGAGTTAAAATCGTTTGCTGTTATACTAAAATCAATATTAATATAGAAATGTTGTAACTTGAGTGTTAGTGAACATTATATATATATATATATATATATATATATATATATATATATATATATATATATATATATATATATATATATATATATATATATATATATATATATATGTATATATAAATATATGTAAATATATATATATATATATATATATATACATATATATATATATATACATATATATATATATATATATATATATATACATATATATATATATATAATATATATATATATATATATATATATGTATATATATATATATATATATATATATATATATAAATATGTATATAAATATATATATATATATACATATATATATATATAGATATATATATATATATATATATTTATATACATATATATATATATATTATATATATATATATATATATATATATATATATATATATATATATATATATGTATATATATATGTGTATATATATATATTTATATATATATATATATATATATATATATATATATATATATATATATATATATATATACATATATATATATATATATAGCTTGAGTCTTCTGCGGCTGAAAATTCAGCCTCTCTAAGAGTCCAAAAATTGCTTCTGCGGCTGAAAATTGACGCATGCGCAAACTTGATCGGGTTTATTTGTTTTTGTTGGAAATTATGAAACTATTCAATCATTAAAACTTAGAAATCAGTGGTGATAATTACATAATAGTTAAAATTAGTTAATATTATATGAAATATGTAGTCAAAACAATTCAGTGAGTACAATAGAGCTTTATATTGCAAAAGTTTTTATCTTCAACTCAAGAAGTTTTGTTGTTAACTGTTAAAACTTGTTACAAATATTATTAGCGAAATCAGTTTTGGTATTGTTAAGCGTTTTTTAATCTTAATTTCCTGACATATTATTCTTAGAATATATCTTTTTTTAGTAAAAATTATTAAGGTCAGTGCTATAACGATTAAAGTTTTTAAATGATAATTTATCAAAGTGTTATTGTCATTACAACTCCCTGATTTTATGACAACCTCGATCAGCAATTATTCAGTAATTAGCGTCTTTTTTAACAGAAGCAACAAATATATATTTTAAAGTAAATTTTTTACACTGGTTATTGTTACAAAGTTACAATTCCGCAACTTAATTGGTCCAATTATTTTGCTGAATTAATTCAGCAAAATAATTGGACCTTATAAGTTGCTGAACTGTAACTTTGTTACTATAACCCCTCATTTAATAACAGTAACCCCTCATTCAAATGTTTTAAGCAAACAATTGCAAAGTTACAATTAGTTGTAACTTTGCAACTTTACTATTAAATATTATACTGAGAAGATTTAAAGTAGATGACTCAGTATTAGTCTTTAAATTTTCTCAGTATAACATTTAATTTCACCATTTAATATCAACAACATTGTGATAATTATTAGCAGTAATCAGTTGAGTTTTGTTTCGAATAGAATTCATTACCCATTTCAAACTCCAAGTTGTTAGAGAAGAGAGGCTGCCTTTTCTAAGCTCTCACAAGGTAAAAAGTTTTTGTCAAGACTGAAACATATATTGGTATCATTAGGCTTATAAAGAAGTCCAGCATGCCAGCCTTTACCAAAAGCTTTTGATATGTGAAAAGAAATAACCCTAGCCCCACCACTACTATCTAATGCCTAATTTTTTTTAAAAAAGACTAATTTTTTAAAGATTTGAATCACTAATGTTATAGTTTATATGTGTATGGCAAATTTCATCAGATCTTATATCAGTATAAAGTCATCAGTGCACTGATGACTTTATACTGATATAAAATCTGATGAAATTGCCTCGTTATTTGGATTCATTACAATGAATTGATTTAGGTTTGATATGTCACCGAAATCAAAAAATTCCTTTTAGCAAAATATTTAAAATAAAGTGGTTAAAGTGCTTGCTTTATAGGCAAAGTGGTTAAAGCGCTTGCTTTATAAGCAGGAGATCGAGGTTCGAAACGAGCCTTGGACATATTTGCATCACGGTAAGGAAGGAGGCATGAACCTCCCGGTTAAATGCACTTTCGCGGTGCTCTGTGACAAAACCGTTAGGTTTTCTTGGGGCACCTAAATAACAAAATTAAAAAAAATAAAAAATTATTTATTTACGTTTTAGGGCCAAAAGAGTCAAATTCCTAATTTTTTTTCTGAAAATCTTGGAAGTTTTTGTTTTTTTTAAATTTATATAACAAATATATCAGTTCAAAAAATATATTGTTCAAAAATTATAGCCATAAGGTGTAAAAATGAAATATATTGTTTGGATATGACTGTTTTGAATATGTCATTTGTAAAATACAAACCCATGTACATTACATATATATATAAACACATTAACTAATGTTTTATATTATTAAAATTCTGTTTATTAATAAACTTAACATACTTTTGTGACATTAGCATAAAAAAATATATAATTAATTAAAGTTAAAACATAAATATATTTTCAGGAGCATTTGTAATATTTACAAGGTTTTTTTCCGTTAAAACTGATAACAGCATTTTTTTAATGTTCAGAAAAGGAGCTGTTACTTTTAAAAACTTAGAATCTATTCCAAGATTCATTAACGAAGTTGTAATGAACTGTTTCAACAGCTTTTTCAGAGTAGCAGCCTAATCCACGCCCTCTTACTGCACAAAAAGCAACTATATGTTTTAAAATATAATGATTTTTCAATGAAACATTTATATTCCATAATCTTCAACCAGTGTTCTGTAGTGTTTTTCAAAGTTTTTAATATGTATTTAAAAATAATGATGTAGTTTCTCCCAAAAAAAAAAAGAATCAACCAAATTGTTTAAAGTTTTAAGCCCTTTTGCCAATAGTTTTAAGTTAATTAACAATGCACGCATGTACTTGTCATAATCTTTAAGGATTTTACAGGAGGCTTTGCCATTAAAGGAATTATTCTGGACCTCTTTCGAAATGTTTAAAATCATCGACACTTTAGCAACTTCGTTTTTACCACCACATTTCTTTATATGATTATAAATATGATTAACAGCTCCCTCCATTAGGTGTAACTCTGGTGGGAAAAGATAATCTGCCACTAAGTGGTCGCTGGTTTTTGCGTGTATCAATGGAGGATTAATAACATTGCAAAAATCTTTAGCATTTTGTTTTATTGCACCTGATTAAGAAAATTTTATGTAATGTTCTTCTAAAGAACCAAAAGTTCTAAGCTTTTCTTTAAATGGTTATATTCATTTTCATTTGCATAAATGGCCAGGTTATGTAGCCATAGCACTTGGAGATAAACCACACATTATTTGACAAAGCTTAAGTTCAGCTACAAATGAGTGTTTTTTTTTAACCTAAATTGAGACAGTTCATTAATATAGAAACATTGTAGTGACTTTCAAGAACATTTGGAACTAAAGCTAGTAAAAAAGTAGCTTTTACAGAACCTTCTTTATATTTAGAATTCTGAGGTTCTTTATATGTATTCATTGTAGATTTGTCTTCATGATTGTTTTTCTTAAGTTCTAAACCTTTGCTCTCACAATCTGACAGTAGGTTTAAACAGATCTAAAATAATTTTTTTTTTCATTTTTACAAAATGTTGTACCATTTTGTTTTATTTTGACTGAATCATAATTCTCATAAACATATTTAGAATGAAATTATTTACCTTCAGAAAGCCTCTTTCTCCATCAATACCAAGTTTGACTGTTTGATTGCTTAAGTTCTCTTCTTTAATCACAATAAGCAACTTTACAAACTCCTCATATTGGCGCACTTAATAATAGAGACATTTTCCTTTTTTAACATCAAGTTCTTGATAATCAATTAAAAATAAACCTTTAAGTGCACCATTAATTACCGGAAGTGCTTTTGTAGGTTTGCTTGTATGCAAGTTTTCCCTTTAATTGATATTCCTTTTAAAATATATTTTTTAAATTAAGGTTAACTATAATACTTAAAAAGAGTAAGAAATACTTTAAAAAAATTGATCTTACCTGAGTTCTTTTGCTAGCTGTATCAGTTTCTTGTTAGACAACGTAAGTCTTGATTGAACCCTTAGAAAATCAATCAAAGTGATCTGTCTAGGTTTATTTTTTAAGAGTCATACTGATATTTGTAAAGGTTTTGCTCCTGTAGCATGTTTAATACTTTTCAACCCTTGTTCATATAATTTTTCTGAGATAAATTTAGAAGCAATCTGATCCTTAACTTTAGCCGAGGTTTGAAGTTTTTCTAATATTTTTACAGCTTACGTTTTAGTTTTTGGGGTTGGGAACTTTTCCCCTGCAATGATTGGGCCTCTCTTTATTTCTGGGCCCCTAAAATGGGTACCGAAAAAAAAAAAAGTCCTTAATATGTAATACGGGCCCCCCAATATGAAAATTGTGATATATGATATATATGATATATATATATATATATATATATATATATATATATATATATATATATATATAAAACATTTTTATCTCTTGCATTTAGGAAAAAATTCCAAAATTGGGCCCTTTTGGCCCCTAAAACGTAAATAATTTGCAAAAAAGAATTTTATGATTTTAGTGACATATCAAACCTAAATCTACTCATTATAATGAATCCAACAATGTATGCCGGGGTCAAATCGCAAAACTAAAAAGTGGTTGGAGGCATGTGTGAGTGATTATTTGTAAGGCTAACTTTATCTGATTTTTTTTATATGAGTAATAAGTATTTTTTATGTGTATTTTTTTTTCCAGACGAATGTTTGTAGCAAATTGAAAGGTTTCTCGCCTTTCAATTTAGAGATGCATTCTTGCTACATACTTATGTCAGTTGTTTGGTAATACTTTTGTGTTATGCTGGAAGATGGGAGAGATAAAAAACGAAAAATTGCTGATTGTCTTTTCTCAATTTGATAAGGGATTTCGAGCTATTATATAATTTAGCACAGTAGACTATTATATTTCATACTTTATTTCAATTTATAATAAACATGCAGATAAAACACATAATAATTATGTGTTTTATCTGCATGCATATTGTTACATTTTTAAATTGAAATAAACTACGAAATATAATAGTCTACTGTCCTGAATTATATAATAGTTCAATTATTAATTGAATGCATATGGTTGAAACTTAAAAAAGTTTTTGTTTATGAAGTTTTACTAAGTTTAATTTGCTTCCAACCAAACAATGTTTGTATTATTTTAGCATCACTTGCAAAACTGAAAAAACACACAGAGCATAAGATTGAAAGCATTTGCATGTTACCAAAAAGGTAGTAAAAGAAATAAATGACACTAGTAAAACAAATAAATGACACTAGTAAACCAAGACACTATCTTAATACTCATTTTTTGATTTTTTTAGTTCAATTGGGCTTTTATAGCGCACAAATGTGTAAAAAACATTACAAATTCAGGTAATTACTTTTAATTGTTTATTTTATTTATCTTTATTAAATTTTATTCTTTAGATTTTTAATGTCAATAAGATTTTTTAAGTGAATAAAATTTACATATTATTGTAGACTATTATTTTCTAAAAATTATGATAAATCAATTTGAACATAATTTTTTTTTTAATGCAGAAGTTACCTACCAAAGATTCTGGACTAGAGTATTTAATCAATGAATCAATCAAAGTAGGAATCAAGTGTTTAAACTATAACCAATAGATGGTTTTGCTAGATTTTTAAACGTTATAACAGTTGTTTATAATTTGTAAATGGACATTTGAACAAGTATATATTTTATCATTTTAATATATCAAAAGTTTTTAATAAAATAAAATCTATTTACTTATTGCCTCATATAGTACTGAAAAATTTAGTCTCAATCAGGATGAATATATTAAAATATATATATATATATATATATATATATATATATATATATATATATATATATATATATATATATATATATATATATATATATATATATAAAAAGACGTGTTATCGATTGAAAGTTTATTCTTTCTATTTTTAATTAGTTGAATTGTATTTTTCTTTTTTGTGTGAAAAAATTATATATTCTGTAGCTGTAGCTTTTTTGTTTTTGTCTTAAATTGCAACACTTATTTAGCAAATATATTTAATTGGAACACTTATTTAGCAAATATATTTAATTGCAACACTTATTTAGCAAATATATTTAATTGTAACACTTATTTAGCAAATATATTTAATTGCAACATTTAGCACATATGTTTAATTGCAACACTTATTTAGCAAATATATTTAATTGCAACACTTATTTAGCAAATATATTTAATTGCAACACTTATTTAGCAAATATATTTAATTGCAACACTTATTTAGCAAATATATTTAATTGCAACACTATTTAGCAAAGGGATTCAAAAGGTGTTATTAAAACTTATTATTATTGCGAAAGAGTAAAAGTTTAAAAAAACAGCATCTCAAACCATTTTTTGCATTTTAAAAAAGATTTATTTTAAATAAAGTTTTTTTTTCGTACTTCAGTTTTAATGCCACTAAGTGTTAATAAAATTTAATGTAACAAACGTGAAAATGACTTTGTTATGTTTCCCTTTTTTGTGTGCAACACCAAGCACAACAAAAGCTATCTCGACATTTCTGTTTATTAGTTGATAAGCAGCAGGTATGAAACCAACGCCCGCAATCATTACTGCAGGCAATCCAATCAATCAGAGTAATATCTATTGACGGCTCCTCGGCTCCACATACAAAACAAATGCTGTCATTTACATCCTTTTTTATTCCGTTTACTTTTTTTAAGGAAACTGTTTTTGATTTTTTTGTTTTGTTATGATCCTCTGACGGTGGAGAGTATTTTCTTTTAACTTTAAAAGGTCTTGCACGTTTTGCAACCGGACGACCACGAGGTTTGGGCAGTTGTTGAAAAATAACTTTATTTAAGCCTACTAAATCATTACTATTTGAGTTGTCGGCAGCACCTATTAGATTATCTTTATTTGGTGTCAATTGAACATTTTTACATATCGTTGTTGTTAAAGGTAATCTATCTTGAGGCGATTTCAAATCTAAAATGACATTTTCTGCAGTTGAGATCAGTGAAAAGTCAATAGATGATGTTGTTGACTGGTCTGAACGGCAATCAATTGACTGTTCAATGATGTCGTTTGCACGTTCTGGAGAGGGTAAAAACTTATGCAATAGTGTCTTTTCTGATGGTGTCACGTTAAGTGTAGTGCACTTTTCTGGTTGCAATTCATCAATAAGATTCTGCAGGCTAGCATTCAAAGCAAAGTTGTTTTGATACATTATCAACATTTTAAATTTTTCAACTGCGCTAAAGTTTCCATTAAAATTCGAACTTGGTTGATCTGCTATAATGGAAGCTAGATCTTTAAGAACAACCATTACACTGTTAAATCTGTCATTTCTGGTACTTTTGGAAACATCAAAGTTAAATTGTGTCACAGACCCAGTAGAAGAACTAACCGCCATATTTGCAGATGCATCACTGGAGAAATATTGCGATGCCTCTCTTCTCCATCTATGTAAAAAGTTTTTAAAAATAATGCAAGCTTACATAACAAAATTGAACAAAAACCCTACTCACAATACTGATAATTTTATAAGTAAAGCCCTTAAAAAAAATTTTACTATGTAAGAATGTTTTTTTTATTATGATTATTATTTACACTATTTAATGTACATTGTGTACAAGTTAAACAGTATAATTTAACTATATTAGTTATTTCAGTGCTTTGCAGTTTTTCTCCTCAATAATTTACTACGCAATTTACTATGTACATGACAGTATATTCAAGATTACAAGTTTAGTTCGCATAAAATGCTAAGTGACAAAATTAGTATAAATGCTACAAAAAGAACACACCTCGAAGAAACTGAAAGCGGTTGAAAGAGCGGTTCGTTAGTAAACATCCAAACAGCAATAAGATGACGACACGGAATTCCCATTTGAGTTGGCATTCCACAAGAACAGTTAAAGCCTTCCACACATTGAAAAGTGCGTATGTCATTATAACTTACTTTCCAATGGTTTTCAAATTTAATAATTGAATACTTTTTTGATCCTACAACTTGTATTTGTTTTGCAATTATTCCTGCAGCATAGTCTGTAAAATGTTTGTAATACTCAACAACATTTGGTTGGGGTATAATTGCAGTTTTCATATTCATATCAAACTGACGGTGATGAGTTTCATATGATCGAACATCCATTATGGTCAGGAGATTCTTTATTAAACCATCTAATGACAGCTGTGCAGAGCCTAATACTCGTTTCAGTGTATGATGAAATCTTTCAATTCTATTGTTAGTCCTATTCTGAAGGTTCATTATGTTGGAGTTGCTAAATGAAGTTATGTTATTTTTAAAGGGAACCCAGTTTTCTAAGATGTAATTGTAAAATTTTAATGACATATTTTGGATTTTAAGTAGTTCATTATCGAAGTTGTTACACGATTTAGACGTTAATAAAGTTTCAAATTGTTTAATACAAGACTTTTTTTCGAGTTCTCCGTTAAGACTTGAAAGATACTTATCGGCAGCCTTTAAGACATGAAAATAGCAAATGTTAATATGAATATTCGGAAAAACTTTTTTGATGGCATTAATTTCAGCTAAATCCTTATCAACAACAAAACAATTAACACCTGTTGTATCGTTAAACTCAGAAAATAACTCGAGAAATTTTTCTAAATGAGCTTGGTCTTCTTTAGACAAGACAGCAAATCCAACAGGTTGTCCCAATCCATTGCTATCTTCTATTAGTAACGTATACAATGGATAACGCATTTTATTGGTTTTATATGTTGCGTCCATTTGTATAACTTCTTTATATTTCGAAAAGTTAATTTGCTGCTGGACAGTCTGAAAAAATAAAGCCTCAAAATTGTTCTCAGCGTCTGTTATAATGCGATAAATAACCCCGGGTTGTGCAAGGGCACTCCGAATTGTTTCATTAACAGAGCCTAGATTTTTTAACAGTTTTTGTTTTCTGTTATATAAATCTTTTATCCGTACATACGATCCTTGTCTATGTAAAACATCCGCTACAAGCGTTGGATTAGCATGCATAACAAGCATACTGTCAATTTCTCCCTGCCGTTCTGGATTTGGCTTTCTAATATCATGATAGAGAGAATATATATTAGAACCAATTTGGTGATTTTTATGCTCTAAATCGGCCTTGGTAACCAGGAATTTATTGAGAAGACGATTATAAGTGACCGTAATTTTAAATTGACAATCCTTTGCAAAGACATGCTGAATTTTTCTTTTGTCGTTTCCTCGGCTTTTAAAATCCCCAAAATGTTTACATTCCCAATTTAGTTGCCAGTATTTTATATCAGGTGGAAGTTGACTGTTGATACCAACCTATTCAATAGAATAAAGTTAATTAATAAGATATAAAATATCTATAGGTCCTAAAGAGCTTTTTACGCGCTAAGACGCGTAATTAAACTCATGTAGCTCAAGTATATAGTAAGATCGAGTAAATAGTAAAGTTTATTAGTTAGTATTGTTATATTATGTAATATATAACAAAAAGATTGCTAATACTGAAATATATAGTTTAACTGGGAAGCCAAGAAAATTTTTCATCATTAAGAATTCCTAAGAATTCTATACTTGCCTGCTTTTAAAATATTTTTCCATTTAAATAAAGGTTAAATGATAAATCATCGAACTTTAAAACATTTTTTTACGAGAAAATAATCTTGTAAAGTAATAATTTGCAAAAGTGGTGCTAAACGTTTATTAAAGTTGGTTGGGCATAAAAAAAAATGTTCTTGTTTATTGAAATTCGCAGACTGTCTATATATGTTGACTGGCTTGTCTAAATATGTCAAATTTGCCGACTAAATGAAAAATAAATTTATTGACTAGGGGCGAGGAGGGGTGTGTCAAACATTATCATACACCCTACCCCTTTCTCCCACACACACACACTTTAGCGTTGACCTTAGCTGGAACCGCAATTCCACCATTTATAATATTCTAGTCCAAAAAAAAAAAGTTGGCGTTTAAGTGGTCCGTCAAACGCTGAATATACAACTTTACCGTCAGGATGTATGAAAGGTAAATTACGTAACGGTTAAATAAATTATTTATTCCGACAATTAAAAAAACTCCAGGTACACATGTATTAATATTGGATGGTCATAACACACATTTAACATATCAAGTTGTACTTGATATGTTGAATGTATGTTATGACCATCCAGACATACTATCTTGATTCTTGATATTATAATATCAAGTTAGTATGTTTACCGGCTCCCTCTTCCCACATAATTTATATTTGGGAGTAAAAAAAACGTTGACATAAAAATAGTGGAATGTAAATTCTAAATGAATCTTAAATTCTAGCAAAGCTACGACTAGTTGAAGAACTAAAACAAAATATAAAGCTCGTTATTCTCAAAAACAAAAAACTTTAAATTATTTCACTATAAAGAAAAATATTTATAAAAAAAAGTCTTCAGCTTTACCCCTTTTATAAACTCTTTGCTATAATCTTCGGCCGGCTATATGAAAAGATATATATATATACAAGGCCGGCACGATGGGGTGTATGACCCCCCACCTTCAATGATTTTTTCGTTTATTTAGTCGGCAAATTTGACCCATTTTTACTAGTCAGTCGGCAAATGTAGACCTATTTAACAAGTTAGTTGGTAAATGTAGACAGTCAGTCGGCAAAATCGGTAGCGCAGTCAGTAAATTTTAAAAAACGAAGACCTTTTTTTTTTTAGTCGGCAAAAGTTGTACTAGCACCCCCACGTGACACCTACTCGCGCCGGCCCTGTATATATAGACTCGGTAAAGTATTTAAAATAAGCTCTTACTGGTTCATCACGTTCGAAAGT